TTGACTTCTTTGATTTAAACTGTGTAGTTTTACCTTTTCTTGAAGCCTGCAAAACAGGTGTCGAAATGAAAGTGGGAGGGCAAGGAAAAGGAAGAGCAGATAGGGAGAGGAAAGGTACACCTGCCATAAGAACTACCTCCTGTTCATTTCCGCAGTCGAAAAATTCTGATTTGCTGAGACCCATAATTAACATTTTCACACCAAGTCATAATTATTCCGAGGTCAGATTTCCAACACCCCCACCCGGCCCTGTTTATTAAACATTGTGTAGGGCTTGTCATTGGGATTTTGCAGTATTCATCGATTTTTGGTAAACAAAAATAAAATAACTAAGAGGTGTGCAAAACCTTGTTCTTATTGGTGAATGTGTTGACAGTTAATTGACCATCAATGTAATCAGACCACAAAAAATTTGTTGGGCACAATGCAAAAAATGGGTTCTTGTACCAGGTATGCCTCTCCCTTTTTTCTTTTACATCCCCCCGCTCTCCCCTTTTTGTGCCCACCAGGCTTTACAATTCAAACACAAGATATTCACAAACTATAAAAACTCAACATCTTTTGATGGTGCCATTAACAGGTGTTCCACTGGAACAATTATTCCTTTTTCTTATTCTCCATTAAAGCCATCAAGATTTTGTTCTGCTGTTGCTGCTGTGTATAGAGCATTGCTTGCAAGCTTTGTTGTTGCTCCAGAATTTGACTCATGAAAGCACGCATCATACTGTCTTGTTGCTGGGCAGCTTGAGTTTGTTTATCTGCAGCAAGTTCCAATTCCCTTTTCCTCAGTTCAAGTTCCTTTTCTTTCAAATCATGATCTTTTGCTGATTTTTCCTTTAGAAAATCAATTGTATCACTTGTGCTTCTTCTTACCTTCTTCCTTTCATTGCCACTATCCGATTCATCATTCTCCCTTTTTTCAGTGTCAGCCATTCTTTCCTCACTTCTTCTGCTGTTGTCTTTTCCTTTTCTGCCTTTTTATTTTTGTCAAGATCCTGCGACTCAATTTTAGCTTTACCATCCTTTTCTCTCTAAAATTTCTTCAAGCTAACTATCCAGTTCTGATATTTCCACATGAATTCCTGACGCTTTCTCCTCGTCCCTCAATTTTTGGGCTTGCTTTGCAGTCAAGAGAGAGTACCTGTGACGGACAGGTCTGGCAGAGACTCTGAACTTTGGCTGGTCAATGGCATTCAGTTGCTGAGCAATAGCTTCCCTAACCTTTCCCCTTTCTGGGCTCCTTGGTTTGAAATTAAACAGTTCTGAGACAAGAACTTCATAACGCATGATGACATTGCGCTCCGTTGACCACTGAAAATATGACGATAGAAAAATAGAACTTTAGGGCCAAATTTTTAGCAACCTAAAGCAACAATTTACTTCACTAATAGCTGATGTAAATTATTGGCAAAGTACCGACAAATGGCATCTAAAAAGCCTTGATACGTACCCTTTCTTCGTAGTGTCTTGCAATGAAGCCATGTTGGATTTCCAGGAAAAAATACACTCGTCAATGGCGCATTCACAGAATAAGTTATAAATAACAAAATCCGATAGAAACAGGCTTTATCAACCAATAAGGAATCAAATAATTCATACACAATAAATCCAGGGTATACACCAAGTTTTCGCGAGATTAAACAGGTTAAATTACTCACGTTTTCTGGAGAATGCCAACTCACTCAAAATTCAGTCGTTGACGTATGCACGACGACGGCTTGACTGGGACTGACATGCGCAATTCATTCAAAACATCACGAGTTTACTTCCGGCCGTCGTCGTCCTGTCATTCGTCGTCGATGCTTAAGCTCCCTAATAACGGGCATAAAAGCTGAACTTCCCCTGTCTCAGTGTGGTCTATTTTAATCCTATCATAAGGTCACGTATTGCTAAACATTTACAAAAAATTAAAATACCTTAGCACTTATTGAATGAAGCTTCGTGTGATGTGAAGAATTATGCATATCAAGGGTGAGATGGATAACAGCCTCGGACATCATACGAAAGTCGAATTCAATAAGTGTTATACTTTTCATAACATTTCTAAGTTCTCAACGAACTCAAAGACTTGTTTCTAAACTTAGAATCTATCTCCCGGCACGCTTTCAGGATGTGACAGATGTTTTTTCGTGCAGAACTACTCAAAAACATCCATCAAGCAACATGTTTTATATGTTCTTGTATTTCTTTTTTCCTTCACAAATTTAGCTATTTCATTAAGATAGCAAGAATTTAAGTCCGCCAATTGAGAAGCATACACCGCAAGTTTTCATGAAAACAGTCCGTGCACTAGCTGGCATGGATTCTTATGTGACTGTTGCTAAGTAGTCCCTAACCCACCTCCCCAATTCAAGATTTACATTGCTAGCTAGCTTGGCTTAACATCAGCTCATACTTCTTAGCAACTTTACTTTTTTGATCCTCCAATGTCAGCTCTTGTTCTATCATTACAGGACATAATTTTTCAGATTGTTTTGTGTTCCTCCTAAATAAAAAAAAAGGACAACACACTTTCTATAAAGTTATTTATTTTATTTCGATTTCGAGAAGGTTCCCTGGTCCCCCCGCTCTCTATAGCGGTATTACCCAGATAATAGATGAAGATATAGTGATCACGTGATCACTATATCGTCACCTATGTCGGGGGTATCATTCACTCACCAAGTGAACTCATTGTTGCCAGGCAATAACTCATTCACAGGCATACATAGTTACTCTTTATTTTTCAAGAAACAACAACAACATGAACCTGATAAAAAGTTGCTCTTTTTCTTTTCTGTGGTTGGTGGGCCCGTTCTCTGCGGTAATAACCACGTTTCCCACGTTTGTCACTGTGCTGCCCCTCTCTGTCTTTTGTTTGTGCCTGCTTCTAAGTATGAAATCAACGTAAATAAGTATTTGACAAAATTACTAGAATTACTCTGGGAGAAAAGTATATATTTCTTCCTGTTCTTTTTGTCTGGAAGACACCTTGCAACAGGCCAGATGCTGGCCACAATTGATTTTTTAACACTCTGTCAACACCCCAATGGAGAATTGTTTCATATTAAAATGCTCTTTGCTTATGCGTGAGATTTCCGACTCAACATACGCCTCGTGTGCTGGCACCCGACTGCCACGAAGAGGCTCTGTCCAGTCGTCGGGGACCAGCAGATTTTCTTCTGGGAATAGAAACTTTTAAATTCACTTGCCCAATGGAAAACTTTGTTGCCAATTACACAATTTACGCTCTACTGTTATGCTGCAGTAATGGTTGCGATGGCTCTTTTCGCTACAACTGAAACATCTACCGTATTTAAGTGAAAGTTTCTTTCATTCTCCTATGTCTTGCACTTTCTTGCAATCCACTAGGAGGTGGCCTCCAAGGCAAAATGCGCATCTCTTGTCCCCTCCTTTGTTTGCAAATAATGCACTGGCTGTTTCGAGTTCCTTCCTGCCATCACTTGTTCCACTCTGTTGCACAGTTAACAGAGAATCCAGCTTGTCTTTGAGGGTCCACTTCAAGTACTGCTTTCTTCGGGTGATTGTCAAGTCCAAAGAATCCTTTCCAGCAGCACAGGGATGACTATCTCGAAGTATGTGGAAGGCCTTTGTATTTTGCCTCCACTAATCATAGAGGCCATGCAGTCTCGCCACTTTTATTGAACACTTTTATTGCTTCACCTGGATCGTGGTCTTTTTTCTGAATCGCTTTTTTAGGAGTTCAAAAGCTGCCTCATAATTTGCGGACGAGGATGAGGCAAATCCCACAATAACAGATCTCGCCGGTTCTAGCGGTAAGCCTCTGAGGTTTGAAGGAATCCCAGAACTCTGCCAATCTTCCAGCTTTCTACTAAACTTGCGTACCTCCACTTTTGGAAGCTTCACTCTGACGATCTTAGAGTTTCACCGAGCATGAGGTGACTCTGTTCTCACTCAAAGGACTAGGAGGAGACCAACCGACGTTTTGACTCTCAGTCTCAATAAATCCAGACTGCATGCTCGATGCTGTTAGTTTTTCGTCAATAGCTGCAAGTCTTTGCAGTACGTCAGCCTTCAATCTTGCAGCTTTGTCTATCTCGGCTGTGATGTCTTCTTGGGTACATTTTTCATTGGGTATGAGTTTGCAGGCTCAAAGTTTATATTTGAGTTTGGGAGCACTTGTTTTACCCAATGCTAATTTTTAGGCGCACTGCTGAAAATTTAAGGAGCACAGCTTACATTGTTGGGGGCATCTACTTCAAAAGAAAAAGTAAAAAGCTTAACAGTGCCACATTTATATACTTTTATTTCAGTCTTGTGGTTGGTAAAAGACAGCCGATCTGCTACACAGTAGTACTGTTGTGTTTTTAAAATAAATTTCCCTTTTTGACCGTACAGTTGTGACTAAATAGTACTTCCATTTTGCCTGCTAAAATGGAGAATTTGGTTTATGGCTTATTGAACAAGGAACAGTAAATTTGGAGCATGCGTTGTGTTGGTTTATGGCTTGTGGAACAACTTATGTTACATTTCAAGCGCGCTTGTATAACATTATGGCTTATAAAACGAGAAATATTACATTTTGAGCGCACTTGTGTTGGTTTATAGCTTATGGAACGACTAATCAAATCTTTTTAAAAAAGCCTTTTAGTTCCTGGAATTTTAGGTTGTAGGTAGCTAATTCGGATAGGTTACACTGCAGTTAGGCAAATTGAGTCAAGGAGTTGACCTATGAGCAATAATGACACAATACGTACAAGTGATGATGACTTCTTTGCATATTTACATACTGGAACAGTTTGCCATATAGCACAGTTGCGTATCACAACTATGTGCAATGTGCATATGTAAAGTGTGGATGTGGGCCCGTTTAAGACTGAACCTGCATTGGTTAAGAGTATATCGTTTTAATCCTATCTTATCCTACAAATTTTATTTTAAAAATCTGAGAACAATAAAACCAATGTAATCTTTACCTGTTATATTCTTCTGCACTCTCATCCCCTAACAAGTGGCTTTCTTCAGAGCTTGGCTCTGTGGAGGAACAACTTGAATTTCATGGCTGCGCTCTCTCACACAGGGTATCATCTATTAACACCAAACGAGGGGTCAGCATCAAAATCCAAGTTTATTGAGTTAAGGAGAAGTAATTCAAACGCACCATAGATGTTTCAATTGATGTGGTGACGTTTGTGATGATTGTGATGGCTCGACTACAAGACAAAACCATACAAAGATTTTGAGAAAAACTAGCAAGCAGAAATTACTTACAAACCAAAGGAAGAAACTAAAGCTCACAGGTATTTACTTCTTTTGCAGTAGATTGATAAAGGAAGCTGAAAACACACGCCTGTTGATTTTGTTGAACTTGATATATGAAATGCCGAATTGCGAAATACAGATAGAGGGGTAAAATTACAATCTTCAAAAGTTATTTTCACTGACCAACGCATCTGCCGAAAGTGTCACGCACGTTTGAATCTAACATCATCTCAGAAGCACTTTTTTTTACTTCGATCAGTCTCATCCTTCTTGTAGGTATATTCATCGCCTTCATTAGTACCATCACTTTTACTGTCCACTGCCTTGGTTGCAACTTTTAATTGTGTGTTTTTGAGAAAATTGGGTTGATGATGTGAAACCATTCAGGCTCATCAATGATGGACAGGTGACAACTTTATCAGTTATGGTGTATGGTATCTTTCTGTTACAAGATTAAAATTGACATTGGAGATAAATGTTGAGTTTGTCGACAAATTTGAATTCTGGTAGGGTGAATTTTTTTGAGAATTCTTTGAGAGGTCTGGTCCTTTAACTTTGTCAAGTTCGCATGATGCTTCTTCAAATGCTGTTGACACTGTTGATCCCAACATTGTATTTCCAGAGTAGTTTTTCACACTGAGGTTCTTGATACTGTAACTCTTGGAGCTTTAGACTTGTTTTATGGTTTCATCCCAGAGGTGAATAATTGCATATCCAGTCAAGTCTTCTCTTATGCAGTCTTCCTTAAGTATCCTAATTTGTCCATTTCTTTGACTGACTTCCTTAGGTGGTTTGTCACCAAGGGTAATGACTCGTCTGATATTAACCTTCTGGTTTCCTGTGAGACTCTGTATTTGGTTCAAAGATATCTCAGGGGAAGTTGGAGCAGCGGTAGTTTGTTGACCAGAATCTAAGGATCGTGATGATGACGTTATTAAAGGTAATATCACTGTAGTCGCAAATCCACAATTTATGTCATTTATTTTCAAACTCCAACAATCGAGATCAGGTCAGATCCAACCTACTCTTCTAAACCTTTGCACGATTCGCTTGTTTTTGCTGCACCTTCCGCAACATCTCTTGTTATAGGAAGCCGCATCAAACTCTTTTGTGTTGATAATCCGTTTAAGTTGTGTTGATAATCCGTTTAAGTACGTGCGGAACTTTCCTTTTGGCATCTGGCTGCACACTGACTTCCATTGCA